GAGAATACCTACAAGGACGTTTAGAGATACACTGTGAAATTGTGAGCAGCGTGAGAATATAATCATAATAATAATAATAATAAACTTTATTAATGTGTCAAATCAATAGCAGTTTCCCACTAAATAAGGACACCTAATCTAAACTAATCTAATAGATATAAACAGGGGTTTCATTAAGGGCTGGGCACTGGCCAAATTCACCGGTTGTAAGGACGGTGTTGCCCACCTGGTTTAACAATCTGGAGGAAGGTTTATCTTATAAAGAAGTTTAGTTCAAAAAGTTTTGCCTGCCTGTGAAAACCAGTTACCCTCCTGCTGAAAAAATTAATGAAACCCCCGTATAAAACGCATAAAATATGCAATCCTGCCCCGTATAGTTGAGCCTATATATATGTACTACCCTACCCTGTGTAATTAAAATTACCTAAAAGATTAGAATTACAATACTGATAATATAAAATATTAAGATTTACATAAAATACAGTTCTTGCAATTGTCCGAGGAGATTAAACTTTGTCTATCTAATGTATGTAAAGCACTTTTAAATTCTTGTAGCATTCTTAGTGTTCTTGTTTTTCCATCTAACTTAGACCAGATTACTGGACCTAAGTACCTAAGAGAGTGCTTACTATAATGTGTTGTGCTTACTTTGAGAATAATGAAATCATTGTTTCTCAAATTATATCTATTATTATTAATGTCAAACAAGTTCTTAATATTATTTGGGCACAGATCGTTTTAACTTTATACATTAACACGGCTATGTAATCATCTATTATATAAGGTTGTTAGATTTTGGACGTGCGTTTGTCAGTGGGTGTTTACAGCACATTGAAGTTCACCGTGGTGTATGTACATGTTAAGTACAAAATCAAAGTCAAGTCAATTCTTTCTTATCGCACTCAAGTAGTGAAATCTGTAACGAATATCCATGTATACTCGTACGTTTCAGGAAGTTACATTTCCGTACATTCCATCGTGACTCTGAGAAAGCTAAGCGTATTGTTCTGTGCTAGTTTTCTCTAGATTTTCTGGACTATGCAGCGAGAGGAAAATTGATTAAGAAGTGTAATCATTCCCTCTAATCCTTAATCACGTAAAATTTCAGTGAATTAACAGTGAAGTGTTGGTGACATATCAGTGGAGCATCAACATTTTTCATTTTTCTATCCATCAACAATTGTTGGACAGCCAACTGTACAGCAAATGAGCACAATTTTTTTCTTGGTCAAGTCTATAGAACCCTTTTTATTAATGTTTTCGTGTGTGTTGTTTTCTACTTTTATATACTCCTTATGCAATCCATATGATGCACAGATAAGGTTGTAGGACATATTTTGCAAACTAAAAGTAATATACTTAACTGGAATAATAGTGGAATAATAAATCCCTTATTTGATTGTTTAAGATATTTTTCCTTGTCCCATTGGACCTTGGGAAGATACTATGCAACTCAGACATATCTGTGTATATACAGTATTATATGTTAAACCATTGAATATGATACAATACAATAACACAATATTTTATTGACAACTCCCCAAAGGGGCGTTTCAGTGACAATGATGATTAGACAATAGCAGTAACAATAAAAAAAAAAAAATGGTAATGGTTAAAAAGAGTAATGCTATATACATTATAGAATATCAATCACGAAAAATAATTTATGGAGTGTTAGAACTATAGTATAACTTAATTATAAGAACAGAAACTTGGGCTAAATCAAGTCAAGAATTTTTTTAAAAGGTCT